ATATAGTATGCTCCTTACTTAACGATCAATTCCTATACCGACCTACTCTTAGAAATGAAACCCCGTTATTAAGTGAGGAGAGGCTGTATTGTATTTCAGGTTATACATCCCTCCAAACAGTAAATATCCCAAACATCACCTTTAAAGTGCAGGCACTGTACTTCCCACCTCCAGGATTCAAGTCAGTTATAGTGTGAATGATGGTGAAAGTGTTTCTTTTTTGGGTTGCCCTAACTTGATGGGAGACAACCAGTGCACTAAAAAAAAAAATACTAATGTATCTGTAACTAACTGATCACAATACCTCGGGGCAAGTCTCTGGTGCAGTCTGCATTTCTAGTATTGGACAGGGCAGCTTAGCCATAAGGAATGATGCAAATCCTGCGAGATCGTACAGACAATCTAAGTGCAATTATAAGCTGTAAACAGCATTAAGTATAAAACAATATATTATGGACAGATTTTTGTGAGTAATTTGTTAAGATGCATAATATCTCATCTGTATTTTCTGTATTAATGTATTCCACAGTCATCTGAGCAGAGAGGTTATTTCACAAAATACAACAAATTATGAACTGGGAAAAAAGAAAAACAAGAATGATATGAGAAATAATATAGGAATAAGACACATAGAGGTTAATTAGTGCAGCCCTGATTAATGAACTTAGTGTGAGAAAGAAGCTACTCACATCCCAGTTCATCAAAGGCATTGCTACAGTGGTTCCTGCCATCACACAGATGATCGTGGAGGAAGCAGGTGCCATCGCCACATTCCAAATAGCCCCGGCTGATGTCACAAGGTTTATCTGTTAAAAATATACAATATTATCCTCTGCAAACTATTAATACTCTTGTAGTCTTATACAGTAGTCCCCCTGTATCTGCAGGAAATACGTTCCGAGACCTACCGTGGATACGTGACACCATGGATAATAGCAAACCCTATATATGTCATTTTTCATTTATATACAAAATTATGCACAATAAGTCAAGCATTAATACATTTTTGCTGATGGGAAGCAGTTCATGACTTCTCTATGACTCTGAAGAACTGACAGCATCACTACTTTTGTAGGTTTATTTTCAAACCATGGTAAACCATGATGGTGGCAGTTCTTCAAAGCCTAAGAGAAGGTATAAAGTGCTTCCCATCAGTAGGTTCACTACTATATGCAGTTTCGGGCATCCATGGTAGGTTTTGAAATAAATCCCCCATAGATACAGTGGACCCCCGGTTAACGAACTTTTTTCATTCCAGTAGTATGTTCAGGTGCCAGTACTGACCGAATTTTTTCCCATAAGGAATATTGTGAAGTAGATTAGTCCATTTCAGACCCCCAAACATACACGTACAAACGCACTTACATAAATACACTTACATAATTGGTCGCATTTGCAGGTGATCGTTAAGCGAGGGTCCACTGTAATGGGGAAAAATACGGCACTGAATCATATACTAGTTGTTAATCTGTGCAGAATTTATACTGAATTAATGAGGTGCTTTTCAACAACATTTTACAATTTACAGATAGGGATTGTTTAGTATCTTTTGGCACAGAGTTCCAGATTTTAGGGCCTTTAATTTGCATGAACTTTATAAACTGGTTGAGTTGTACACGTGGGAGATTCAAAAGATACTGTACTTGTTTCTAGTATTATATCTAGGCATTCTATTGGAGCTACAGTATTGTATGTTCTTGTTTCTAGTATCTGTCTAGGTATTCTATTGCAGATACAGTATGTAGGTGTCCCACAGCTTGACTGCAAGTGCACTCAGCTCAAACACTGAGGTCTGTGGTTCGATCCTCAGTACACGTGGAAACATTATGAATGTTTCCTTAAGACACCTGTTGTCCCTGTTCACACAGCTGTAAATAGATACCTGGATATTAGTTGACTGGTGTGGGTTGCATACTGGGGACAAAATGCTCTGCATAACAAGGGGTTTTCTATACAATATGTCAGTGATGTCAGCTACTGTTTGTATACCTTGTACATGTTTTTCTTCTTTCAACAAACTGGCCATATCCCACCAAGGCAGGGTGGCCCAAAAAGAAAAACAAAAGTTTCTCTTTTAATTTTAGTAATGTATACAGGAGAACGGGTTACTAGCCCCTTGCTCCTGGCATTTTAGTCGCCTCTTACGACACGCACAGCATACAGAGGAAGAATTCTGCTCCACCTCCCCATGGAAGTTTCTTATTAAGCCTTCATTTTGAAACCAAATATTCATCACTCTATTTGAATTTATTTTCTGCTAAGATTTGTTAATTATTATTTTACTCTTCCTCATCCAATGCTTTTGAAATTTGCAGTTTGCTTTGTTTTTTATAAACTTTTCTCAATCATAATAGTATCCTCATTTTCCAGTCTTTGAATATTATTTTTAAAGAAAAATATATTTTATATTACTTTGAAGTTCAAGTACATATACATGTACATGTACTTGTAGAAAAAAAGATTCGTCTTCTTCTTTGAACAAACCGGCCGTATCCCACCAAGGCGGGTGGCCCAAAAAGAAAAACAAAAGTTTCTCTTTTTAACTTAGTAATGTATACAGGAGAAGGGGTTACTAGCCCCTTGCTCCTGGTATTTTAGTCGCTTCTTATGACACGCATGGCTTACAGAGGAAGAATTCTGTTCCACTTTCCCATGGAGAATAAAGATTATTATTATAATATTATTATAGGAAGAGTCAGAGTATTCAGTTGACATTCACAGCAAGTGTCCTGGGCATATACTAAGGACAGTAAAAGGTGTGAAGTTTTGTATGTTGAGTAAATTTGGACTTTTCAATGGTGGAGTGTGTATGTTGCCTGAAACCAATTTAGGTGATCAAGGTAACATCAGTGAAAGGATTCGGAGGAACTTGTTAGCAGGACTTAAGTCCTGAAGGTGGAAAGTACAGCACCTGCACTCTGAAGGATGGGTGCAGATGTGGCTAGGAAGGTCATTTGAATTTGTGATGCTGATGCATTACCAACAAGACATAATTAATTTTTCTTAATGCTGGCTGTCTCCCACCAAGGCAGAGTGACCCGAAAAAAAAATTCACCATCATTCACACTATCCTTGTCTTGCCAGAGGCATGTAGATAAGACAGTTTAGATGTCCCTAAAAACAGCAAACACTAATTATGCTCTGGTGGCCTGGTGGTTAACGCTCTCGCTTCACACGGCAAGGACCTGGGTTCGGTTCCCAGCCAGAGTAGAAACATTGGACGTGTTTCTTTCCACCTGTTGTCTATGTTCCCCATCAGTAAAATGGGTACCTGGGTGTTAGTCGACTGGTGTGGGTCGCATCCTGGGACACTGACCTAAGGAGGCCTGGTCACAGACCGGGCCGCGGGGGCGTTGACCCCCGGAACTCTCTCCAGGTAAACTCCAGAAACACTTCTTTCATCCTGTGTTGTCCCTGTTCTTGTCTATCATTCCTTCAACTCATGTACTTAGCTTCATCCTTAATATACCACTAATTACAATACATGTATTTTTATTGAATTATCAAATGCCTCCAATCTAATAAAAACTATGTATTCCTATTCTCATGTACTAGTAATCATAATTTAGTTTAAAGGCTGCCCAAAATGCCTGGCATAATAAGGGGCTTTTTATAAAGTAGTTTATATACAACACTTACTCTATTTGTATTATATAGTGTACTCCACTTTATAGAAATATAGTATTTTTTTGTTTTTGTTTTTGCAATGGGTGATAGTCAAAATATTTTCTTCTTTGAATCACCTTGCCTTAGTCAGAAACAGTCAATATGGTAAAAAAAAAATCCTAGTTTTAATCAGTTTGACTCCCTGAAATGCATTTTAAGAGATAAATTGCCTATACTCTCAATGTTTCATAATCTGTAATCAAAAAGCATCGATTTTTTCATGATAGAAAAACCTTGATTACACAAGTTCAGATTAAAGAAAAACGTTACCGTATTTCACGGCTTATTAGATGCATGTTTTTTTCCCATAAAAAGTCTCCAAGAACCCCCTGCCTCCATAAACTGAAGGTCAGTGACGGGAGCTATAAGTTTGGGGTGCGGGGTGGGCTGTAGCTCTCCCAGTTACATCTGATGCTGAGCCTTTGAAACTAAAACAAGTCTCATAAGCCGCAAAATATGGTATATAAACCTCTGCCAGGGGAGAGGGAGATGGGAGCATCAGTGAGAAGTATGAGTGCAGCATCCTGGAAGGTAGCGAGAACGTCCCTGGCATAGCTGTGGGCCGGCAAGGACACCAGCCGGTCGCTGAATTCTCCTTCACGGGACCGGTGCAGCACCCCATGTAGGGTCCTGGGCCAGGGTAACAAGAAAAGACTTAGAATAAGCAAGAAAATTGACATATTTTACAAAACCCTTCACAACATATTTACAATAAACAAATTTTTATCTCTAAATTGTTTCAATATTTACAAATCCCTTCACAACACATTTACAATGAAGTTTTTTCTACATTGTTTCAATATTTACAAATCCTTTCACAACACATTTACAATGAACAGATTTTCATCTTAAATTGCTGCAATAATTAAAAAACTTTCACCACACATTTACAATTAGAATATGATGTAAATGGCTTAGAAAACCGACAAGTTAAAGAATGTCTCACTCTTGGGAATCTTCATAATGGACTGAAGAGGCCACTGGCTGGCAAAATTGTTTGCCATAATAAAGACTTCCAAGTGTTGTGTAAGTGTCTCTTTTCTCCCTCAGGAGCCAGAGACGGGTCATCGCGAGATTGAGACCCGTGCCAGGACTACGGTCTTGGCGAACATTATACATACATGTAAGTGTCTCATTGTGTGTGATCTAATTCATGTCTGCATAAATAGCTCATTATGATTGTGACCAGATATAAACATGTAAATAGTTCATTACCATTGTAACTTGTTCAGCTATCAAAACTTTGCAGCCCAGTCCCTGGACCCATTATGTGCTTCTGTAATGATGAGGTACAGTCCCTAGACCCATTATGTGCCTCTAATGTTGAGGTACAGTTCCTGGACCCATTATGTGCTTCTGTAATGATGAGGTACAGTCCCTAGACCCATTATGTGCCTCTAATGTTGAGGTACAGTCCCTGGACCCATTATGTGCCTCTAATGTTTAGGAGCAATCCTTGGATCCATTATGTTCCCCTATAATGTTGAGGTACAGTCCCTGGAACCATTATGTGCTTCTGTAATGTTGAAGTACAGTCCCTGGACCAATTATGTACCTCTGTAATCCTTTGACTACCACCCACAGGATGGGTATGGGGAGAAATAATAAAGATATTGAACTAACCTCAACAACATGCATAGTTACCTGGGCAAGGGCTCCATCTTCCCTAGGTTATCAATGATACGAGTGTGGTGAGAGCGTTTGGGTGTTGCCTGAAGTAGTTGATGCTGCGTTCACAGACAATCGCATAAAAAGATCCTGGAGGAGCTCCCACACTATTTCTACTGTCTTCTTGGCATGGTCCTTGTGCTGGTTCATTTGAGAGTCGCACCTGCATAAAATAAGGGTTGTTGGGATTTTTTTAAACCCGGGAGAAGGGTTAGCCACCCAGGGTAACCGAAGAGAGTCAGTGTGTCATTGAGGACTGTCTGTCTTATTTCCACATTATTAATATAAACATACAAGGATATAAATTTACACTATTTTATATTCTTGTTGTATATCTATAATGATATTGTGTAAAATGAAAACCATAAATCATTTATAAGTAATAAAACCTTTGCATAACAATAATTTGAATGAGTATCTATGTAGACCTCACCTCCATATTATCAAAAATTCTGACAGGTAGTGAGAGAGCATCAGCAAGAACCTCCCCGGCGTGTGTGGTGACATAGACAAGAATGGTGAACCTTGGGGCCATAGTGGATGCTACTGCAATGTTTATCGTCACCACATCGTCACCATGATTCACCTCCTTTTTCTGAATATATCAGCACTCCTTTGGAATGATCTGTTGAAGAGAATGGAAGGATTGTTGTGAAGAGGAAGCTGGCTGAGAAGATTTGTCAATACAGGAGGGCTGTGTTTATACAGCAGGTTAGGTTCTGGGTTGCTGCTGTAGAGGAGGGCCCTGCTTGTACAGCAGGTTAGGTTCTGGGTTGCTGCTGCAAAGGAGGGCCCTGCTTGTACAGCAGGTTAGGTTCTGGGCTACTGATGTAGAGGAAGGCCTTGCTTATACTACTTACTACTGTGCAACCTACACTTACAGAGCCATTAATTCCAATATTAACCCTGAACTAAAACACTTTCTTGATAGTCGTGACAGGAACCACAGGCATAACACCAGACACAAAAATCTCTATGACATTCCCTGTGTCCAGCTAAACCTATACAAAAATTCATTGTACATAAAGGACCTAAAAACTGGAACACCCTACCTGAAAACTCTAGAACTGCAGACACATTCATCACTTTCAAAACTACCATTAGAAAACATCTTATCTCATTTACACACCCGTAACTACATGAAAACTACCTATTCTCTTGTATCATACACACATGAAAAACAAACTAGACCTACTCTCAATATCTGTGATTCCCCCAATTTACACTGACACTATTACCTAATGAATTTTAAACTAGTCATAGGTTTGCCTGAGATACTGTAATACAGGAGATTTAATAGAAACTATGTATTGAGCCAAGACAAAACCATTTTTGTTGCTAAATTTATGAACTGTAATGCAGTTCCAACATGCTCCATAACCTGTACCAATATAGTTTGAATTAATCTTAGTCTGCCCGAAAAGCCTAGTCATGCCAGGCATGATAGTGGTCCTCTCTGTAATTAGTATTTCATAATATGTAACACCACACATTGTAACTAATATTCTATAATATGTAAACCCCGCACTGTAATCTTTATAGAGAATAAATTTGATTGACTGATTGATTGATACAGCAGGTTAGGTTCTGGGCAACTGCTGTACAGGAGGGGCCCTGCTTATACAGCAGGTTAGGTTCTGGGCAACTGCTGTACAGGAGGGGCCCCGCTTATAGAGCAGGGTTTAAATTCTGGGCTACTGCTGTACAGGAGGGGCCCTGCTTATACAGCAGGTTAGGTTCTGGGCTACTGCTGTACAGGAGGGGCCCTGCTTATAGAGCAGGTTAAGTTCTTGGCTACTGCTGTACAGGAGGGGCCCTGCTTATACAGCAGGTTAGGTTCTGGGCTACTGCTGTACAGGAGGGGCCCTGCTTATACAGCAGGTTAGGTTCTGGGCTACTGCAGTACAGGAGGGGCCCTGCTTATACAGCAGGTTAGGGTTTTGGGCTATTGCTGTACAGGAGGGGCCTGCTTAACAGCAGGTTAGGTTGGGTTACTGCTGTACAGGAGGGGCCCGCTTATACAGCAGGTTAGGTTCTAAAGGGTACTGCTGTACAGGAGGGCCCCTGCTTATACAGTAGGTTAGGTTCTGGGCTACTGCTGTACAGTAGGGCCCCTGCTTATACAGCAGGTTAGGTTCTAGGCTACTGCTGTACAGGAGGGCCCCTGCTTATACAGTAGGTTAGGTTCTGGGCTATTGCTGTACAGGAGGGCCCCTGCTTATACAGCAGGTTAGGTTCTGGGCTACTGCTGTACAGGAGGTGCCCTGCTTATACAGCAGGTTAGGTTCTGGGATACTGCTGTACAGGAGGGGCCCTGCTTATACAGCAGATTAGGTTCTGGGCTACTGCTGTACAGGAGGTACCCTGCTTATACAGCAGGTTAGGTTCTGGGCTACTGCTGTACAGAAGGTGCCCTGCTTATACAGCAGGTTAGGTTCTGGGATACTGCTGTACAGGAGGGGCCCTGCTTATACAGCAGATTAGGTCCTGGGCTACTGCTGTACAGGAGGTACCCTGCTTATACAGCAGGTTAGGTTCTGGGCTACTGCTGTACAGGAGGTGCCCTGCTTATACAGCAGGTTAGGTTCTGGGCTACTGCTGTACAGGAGTGGCCCTGCTTATACAGCAGGTTAGGTTCTGGGCTACTGCTGTACAGTAGGGCCCCTGCTTATACAGCAGGTAGGTTCTGGGTACTGCTGTACGGAGGGCCCCTGCTTATACAGCAGGCTAAAGGTTCCGGGCTATGCTGTACAGGGGGAGGCCCTGCTTATACAGCAGGTTAGGTTCTGGGCTACTGCTGTACAGTAGGGCCCCTGCTTATACAGCAGGTTAGGTTCTGGGCTACTGCTGTACAGTAGGGCCCCTGCTTATACAGCAGGTTAGGTTCTGGGCTACTGCTGTACAGAAGGTGCCCTGCTTATACAGCAGGTTAGGTTCTGGGATACTGCTGTACAGGAGGGGCCCTGCTTATACAGCAGATTAGGTCCTGGGCTACTGCTGTACAGGAGGTACCCTGCTTATACAGCAGGTTAGGTTCTGGGCTACTGCTGTACAGGAGGTGCCCTGCTTATACAGCAGGTTAGGTTCTGGGCTACTGCTGTACAGGAGTGGCCCTGCTTATACAGCAGGTTAGGTTCTGGGCTACTGCTGTACAGTAGGGCCCCTGCTTATACAGCAGGTTAGGTTCTGGGCTACTGCTGTACAGGAGGGCCCCTGCTTATACAGCAGGCTAGGTTCCGGGCTACTGCTGTACAGGAGAGGCCCTGCTTATGCGCAGGTTAGGGTTTTGGGCTACTGCTGTACAGTAGGGCCCCTGCTTATACAGCAGGTTAGGTTCTGGGCTACTGCTGTACAGTAGGGCCCTGCTTATACAGCAGGTTAGGTTCTGGGCTACTGCTGTACAGTAGGGCCCCTGCTTATACAGCAGGTTAGGTTCTGGGCTACTGCTGTACAGTAGGGCCCCTGCTTATACAACAGGTTAGGTTCTGGGCTACTGCTGTACAGGAGGGGCCCTGCGTATACAGCAGGTTAGGTTCTGGCTACTGCTGTAAGGAAGGCCCTGCTTATAACAGTAAGGTTAGGTTCTTGGCTACTGCTGTACAGGAGGGGCCCTGCTTATACAAAGTTAGGTTCCTGGGATACTGGCTGTACAGAGGGGCCCTGCTATACACCGGTTAGGTTCTGGGCTACTGCTGTACAGAGGGCCCTGCTTATATACAGCAGGTTAGGTTCTGGGCAACTGCGAACAGTAGGGGGCCCTGCTATATAACACAGGTAGGTTCTTGGATACTGCTGTACAGGAGGGGCCCTGCTTATACAACAGGTTAGGTTCTGGGATACTGCTGTACAGGAGGGGCCCTGCTTATACAACAGGTTAGGTTCTGGGCTACTGCTGTACAGGACGGGCCCTGCTTATACAACAGGTTAGGTTCTGGGATACTGCTGTAAAGTGAAACATAGCTTCTTCTCATTTTCAAATGCATATATAGCCTGATAACATGTTTATACTATCATATATTAAGTGAACAATAGAGCTAGGCCTAAAAAATGCATATACATTACACAAATTACTTACTTTAAAATATTTTCGTCCTTAGCTTATAGTGAGCAGTGAATGTATTTATTGTAGGAAGTCTGAATAAGTGAAAACCGTTGTACTGGCAAAGCGCTGTAAAGTGGGGCCTTCCTGTACTGAATGTAGCACTGAACCCATGTGGGTCATTCAGCACCAGAGATATCATATTAGAGTCTCAAACCTACATCCTCTAATCTGTCTTACTCTTAATGGATGGAGGATTAAGCCTCCGTGACTTCTAACACTGAATGACCCAACCTGGTTTACTGTTTCATTTTTTTTTTAAGACTGGCTGTCTCTCACTCAGGCAGGGTGACCCAAAAAAGAAGAAATACTTTCATCATCACTCACTCCATCACTGTCTTGCCACAGACACACCAACACTACAGTTCAAAACTGTAAATATCCCCACCCCTCCTTCAAGAGTGCAGGCACTGTACTTCCCACCTCCAGGACTCAAGTCCGTCTAACTGGTTTCCCTGAATCCCTTCATAAATTTTACCTTGCTCGCACTCCAACAGCACATCAAATCATAAAAACCACTAGCCTCCACTCACTATTGTCTTTCTTGTCAAAAGAATGAGTCACTCAAGTTGGTTTCTGCTATTTTTAGCTGGACTTGAGTCCTGGAGGTGGGAGGTACAATGCCTGCACTCTAATGGAGGGGTTTGGGATACGTATTTGCTGTTTAGTGACATCTAAACTGTCGTATCTGTGTGCTTCTGGCAAGACAGTGATAGTGTGAATGATGGTGAAGGCGTTTCTTTTTCGGGTCACCTTGTCTCGTTGGGAAATGACCATCATGTTAAAAAAATTAATGAACCAGAGAAAAATCCCTTCATTTTTGCCAGATTTGCAAATACAGTTCCAAGAGTAAATATGGTAGGGAACAACAAGTTAGAATCTATGCTCATTTATTTTAATTCAAGATTGTAAATTCTTAAATTTACAGTTTATTGTTACTGCCTTATTAATCTTAACTTTGCCTGAAATGCTCTGCATATATAGGGACTTTCTGCATGTACACCCAAATGTCATTGTCCTTTGTACAAACATTGTATCATGCTGAAATAAACATTATTATTTTCATTATTATTATTGTTATTATTATTATTATATATTATTGTAGTAGTAGTTGTATAACTGTCAACCCCCCAGGGAGTACACAGTCCTGCCAAGTGAGTGTAAACCGAAGCCATAATTGTTTTACATGAAGGTAGGATTTTGTGTCTTTTTTTCTGTTTCATACACATACAAGATTTCAGGTACATCTTGCTACTTCTACTTACACTGTAGGTCACACTACACATACATGTAGCAAGCATATATATACACATAGTGCTACCCTCTCGGGTTTTCTTTGATTTTTCCTTTCTAGTTTCTTGATCTGTTTATTTCCTCTTACCTCAATGGGGAAGGTGAAGAGAAATTCCTCCTCCGTAAGCCATGCGTGTTGTAAAGAGGCAACTAAAATGCCGGGAGCAAGGGCTAGTAATCCTTCTCACTGTGTATATTACTAAATATAAAAGAAGAAACTTCGTTTTTCCTTTGGGCCACCCTGCCTTTGTGGGAAATGGCCAGTGTAATTGGAAAGAATAAAAGATTATTATTATAATTATCATTTATAAGGGGGGAGTCTCCCTACGATCCTCCGGTGGGGAGGGGAACCTCAACATCTCCACATGTCCTCATCGTGTGCGATTAAGCCTAAGTCTGCTGTCATTGATGAACCCAACGAAGCTCGAGCTTACACCTCACTCAACACTTGTACTTCACTAGCCAAGTTCTCCAGACTACTTCACGGAAAGAAGCCTTCATCATCACTTTTCTCGATGATGCTGGAATCTGACAAAGTACTTACACCTACAGCCATGAAGAACATTAGAAAGGACCGTGGGTTTCTAACCATCTCCGCGTCACCATAACATGCGTGCACAACGCTCTGTGTTAATGAAACGCCTTGACAGGCTTATCACGAACATGTCTATCGAGAAAATTTACATCATCACTTGAAGACCTCAACACTTGGGCCAAGATTGACTCTGTTGTGAAGATCCCCAACGCTTCCTCGATGCTCAAGGTCACGTTTTTAGAGGGTTACCATGGCGACCAGGCATTGTCTGTGGCCTGGCCATCTCTTACTACTACATCAACCTCGACAGATTGAACCTAAATGATTCACTTACAAAAACACCTTGTTGGACTGTTACTGGTACAATCACTCTACTGCCGACTGCCACGTGAAGAATAAGAAGATATGTTCCACGTGTGGGTCTGCAGATCAGGGACTTTCGTTTTTGCACTTCCATGCTGCTCCCCCCTGCTCAACTGAAAGAGTGATCACCATACTCTTGCAGCCAAATGTCCAGTATGCAAGGATATCCTCTCTAAGAAACTGAAAGAAGAAACTTAAGAAGTCTACAGGAAACTCTCCTTCTTATGCTGCTATAGCTAAGCTTCAGATGACCACCACCAAGATTCTACAAGCCACTCAGCAGCCTCCACCAATCACAGCCTCTCCTCTACCAGACGATATTTCCACAAAATTCTACTACTGCCTGATGTATGCACACATGCAAAATGCAGCTAACCCGGGTTGTTTCAATACAACTATGAATGATATTCTTGCCCTCAACATCAGAGCTGAATAGGGGTTGTTGAGGTGGTTTGGTCATCTAGAGAGAATGGATCAAAGTAGAATGACATGGAGAGCGTATAAATCTGTAGGGGGAAGGAAGGCGGGGTAGGGGTCATCCTCAAAAAGGTTGGAGGGAGGGGGTAAAGGAGGTTTTGTGGGCGAGGGGCTTGGACTTCCACCAAGCGTGCGTGAGCGTGTTAGATAGGAGTGAATGGAGATGAATGG